AAAAGTGATAGACGTAGGGAGTGTTTGCGATTGCTTGTGCTTTTTGAAAGTGATTTTTTTAAAAGATTGTTGGAAAAAGTGATTTGTAATAAAAGTTGGTAGTGTTTGGGAATAGAAGTGATTTTAATTAAAATGTAAAAGTTGGAGTGTTTGATTAAAAAGTGACTGTTTTAGGTAATATTATATTAAAATACCAATTTGCCCTTAGCAGCCCAACACATCTAGCATCTCTATCCTGTCTGCTCCAGAGCTTTGCAAAACAACAATTGTCCATTCAATAATAATTCAGATAAAGAACAAATCTAGCAAACCAAATTCCTTTTATCAACAAAGCAGCAAGAGTTGCTCTGAAGTGGGAAAAACTTAGCGCCGGTAATTTATTAAGGGTACGGGTATGGCCATATGGGGCACCATCCCTGCAAATTGATTCCTTCAATCCAACTGAAGGATTAGAACCGGTATTGCTTCCTCTGTAATTCGGTCGGTGGTAAAATCTGCTCCAAAGCTCGGTCGGTGGTGTCATTTACGGCTGCCTCAGACATCGTCATCCTTGTGTGTATGAAGTCCGACGAAGGAGTACAGATGAGGGTGCTTTTCGTCTAGATTAAATAAGTGTTCCATTAAGAGCCCGTTTGGTAGCACGAAAATCGGTTGTTTTGGCTGTTTCTGCTGAAATTTATGAAGTTCTGGCTGAGGTGGCTGTTTTGGCTGATTCTGCTGATTCTAGAAAAAAATATTTTAAAAATATATTTTATTAATAAAATAAAGAAAAAATTATATGTAAAAATAGCTAAAATGGTCATCTACAGTAACTTCAGCCAATACAGCCAGAAAAGTAACTCCAACCTTACTTTTTCTGCTTATTACACAATTCAGCACGCGAAAGTAAAAATTACGTGTTTGGTGAAAAAGCTGGCTGATAAGCCTGATAAGCCGAAAAAAGAGGTCTCCAAACGGGCTCTAAAACTATCTATAAAGATTGAATTAATTACAAAAAAGCCAAGAAGCAGAAAAAAGCACCACAAACCCAGCTTCCAGCTTTTGGCTTTAAAGCACTTTTTTTTAAGTAGAAGCTAATGTTTGCAAACACTAATTTCTGCTTTTTAAAGCTACAAGCTGAAAAGCAGTTAAAATAATCTCTTGCAAACACTCTTGTAATTTGTGTAATATAATCATTTTTCTTGTACATATTCCGTTCTCTAATAGATGGGAGTATAGCCTTTGGCGCAAATTTTAAGAAGAAATTAATAAGGGTAATATAAAATGTGTAGTGAGTTGTGTTTAAATGAAAAAGTAGGAAAGAGAATGAAAAAGTATGAAAGAGAATGAGAGTATAAATGTATATTTACTGATAAAACTTTCTAAAAATGGAAAAGAAGACAACTATTAGAAAACATTCTAAAATGGAAAGAGGGACAAAAATTAGATAACGGAGGGGGTATTATATTGTTACACACTTGTACACATTACTTGTGAAAACTTTTTTTTTGTCTGTCGCAGGCTAAACAGGTTTTTCTGTCATAGAAATAAGATGTTTGTTTTGTCTGTGACAGGAAAAAAATAGTTTAGGTGTGTAAACAATATAAGTGTGTACAAAAGGATTTTTATTGTTTAAAACAATTGTTTTTGCCTATGACCTTAAATTTTTTTGAAAAGATATTATCTATCGATCACTTAATTTGGCATATAATACGGAGTAATTTTTAATACTTGTGACAAAGAAGTTTGGAGTATGTATAAAAATATTTACCAAGTATTCTTGATTACTTAATTTGGAAGCCGCAGTTGGGTAACAAATTAGTTGAATCGTCCTGAATCTATATAAAAAAATTACATAAAAAAAGCTAAATGATCATCTATACTGATTTCAATCAATTCAAAGAGAAAAGTAGTTTTATCATTATTTATTTTGATTATTACACATTTTAGCGTGTGAAAAATAATCATTTCATGTTTGTTAAAGAAGTAGAACCTGTTTGATGACCTCAACTTTCGCCTTATTAGCCAAATTTTTCATCAAACACATAATTTTTTATTTCACGCGTTAAATAGAGTAATGATCAAAATAAGTAAGGTTGAATTAATTTTAATATAATATTTTAATAATTCAGCCACTTCAGCCAAAACATAATCGATTTAAATAGAATCAGTCAATTCAATCTATTTCAGTTATCCAAAGAGGCTCTTAATTTATAAGACCAATAATTCGAAAATAGGAGTCACCTAATGTGGTAAGTGATCATTAAGAGTCTTTTCAGTAACACAGAAACTGTATGAATGAACTGAATTTGCTAAAGTTGATGAACATTAAATTCTGATTAATTGATTGAACCTGTGAATTATGATTTGTTTTTTTATTTAAGTCGAACGATTCTTGTGCGGGATGAGTGGAAGGGGAACTTGGGTTCTCTGGCCGACTGATGCGTCTATTTAGAAGGGAACAGAGTGCACAAATGTGGGACCGAGTTTTGTTGGGATAGACTTGAAACTTTCCGGCTTCAATCAACCGAAAAAGTTGCGATCCATTAATGAAGAATGCTCCCTCTTATATTCACCTTATATCTACTATGTTTGTGGAAGTTTTTTTTGTCTGTGAATCCGGTTCATAGATAATATTTTGTTTGTGCAATTATTATCTGTGAGCCAGGGTTCACAGAAAAAAAACAATTGAAAAACATAGATGAGTACAAAAGTGGGTATAAGAGTGGGTAGAAGATCATTTTTTATCAATCAAAAGGCTACTAGTAGCTACGTACAGCAAAAGCAAATGAGGACACAAAACAACTGCACCCACTAAAAGAAACAATCAATGAAACCATGGTACTATGAGAGGAAGCCTCTGTTCTAAAAAGACTAAGAGAGTGTTTGCGATTGCTTCAACTTTAAAAAGTGATTTTTTAAAGTGATTTTGGGAAAAGTGATTAATAGTAAAAGTTGGTAGTGTTTGAGAAAAAAGTGATTATGAAAAAGTAAAAGTTGGTAGTGTTTGGTAAAATAAGTACTTTTTGTGTAATAGAAAAAGTGAGAAGCAGTTTAAAGCACCCTTCTACCTGCTTCCAGCTTTTAGCTTTTAAGTGATTAATTTAAGCAGAAGCTATCATTTGAAAACACTCTTTTCAACTTTTTTTAAGCCAAAAGCTGAAAAGCACTTTTTTTAATCAACCCCAAACACTCCTTAAGTGCTACTACGTACGTGTTTGACCTACAATGGTAGGGGGTTTGGCAACTTGGCTTTGCTTTAGAACCGGATTAGAACCTGATTGTGATTGCAGCAGTGATGTAACTAGAGCCGTCAAAACGGGCCGAAACCTGCGGGTTGGCCCGTTTCAACCCACTTATAAGTGGGTTAGGGCTATCATTTTCAAGCCCGATTGTTTTGCGGGCTCAGTGGGTCAACCCTAACGGGTTGCGGGTTTAGCGGGCCAACCCGTACGGGTTGCGGGCCAACCCACGGGCTGAGGACAAATATCATTTATTCTATGTATTTTTAATTCTATTATGAGAAAATAACTTTAAATAATACCAACTATCTTCGATAAATCAATAATAATACGTACTTTAGAAATAACTTTTAATAATATCAACTATCTGGATGTGAACCAAAAATAAAATAGAGACACTTTTCTACAAGAAATTCAATCATTTAAGACATCAAAAACTAAGATCAAATCATCAAATAATTGATATTTGAAAATATGATCACTTATTTGATATTTTGATATTAGTTTTTGATGAATTGAATAAATGAATTTTTGGTGAAAATTTGCTACATATCACTTTTGCTAGATAATCAAATAGTTGGTATTATTAAAAATTATTTCTCGAGTTTGTATTATTCTTGGTTCATGGAAGATAATTGGTATTATTTAAAATTATTTTCCCTTCTATTATTTCTATATAGGACAATTATATCTTCTATTATACTCTCTTTACTTATAGTTCTTTCCTCACTTTTAATACTAATGTACTTTGTTCATGATATCCAAATCAGACTAAATAATTTATTTTTAATGTATTCGTTGCTATATTGTTTTATAACATAAGGACTTCTATGTTGTTTTATTCATGATATCCAAATCAGACTAAATAAATGAGAAATTAGGTATTTGCGATATTTCAGCTTAACTATACCCACGATAATATATTAAAGCTTTTAAGTATTTAATCATTTAACTTTTTAAGTATACCAGTTACCCACGATGATACATTCAAACATACAACCAAAGGATTTTCAAGCACTAATTTTTTCCTTTTTAATTGTGTTTGGATTTTAATTTAGATATTTAATTGCTATTTCAATTGTGTTGGGATTTTAATTTAGATATTTAATTGTTTTTTTTTTACATTTATGGCCCGCGGGCTGGCCCCCATAACCTGTGGGTTAGGTGGGTCGGGTTAAGGTCATAAAAATTCTGGCCCGATAGTAAGCGGGTTGGCCCGCCCCGACCCGTGAAACTCATAACCCGCCGCGGGTCGGGGCGGGTCGGGGTGGGTCGGGGCGGGTTGGCCCGTTTGACAGCTCTAGATGTAAGCCCCTTTAACTCATCTGTGACGTCGGTATTAGTAGTAATTGTGACAAAACCCTAGGTACACATATCTTGAATGTCTGGGGAATGGCTGAGTGTAGGAACATCAGTCGATCCGAGGCGGATCAAGCATTCAAGCCCACTGGATCTCGTCTGGTAGTGTCATTGTGGATCCTAAAACATGAATAATTGGGTTCACCCTTGTTGATGTGGCTCAGCCCATACCAGAACAAGTCGACCCACCACGTAGATTGTAGCCATGTAGGTGACCTGGGTGTGATATGAATTGTCTATCTCTGGATCCTTTAGGTACATGACAATATACTCCATCGATCAGTAGCGAACCAAACAATCAGTAATGAGGTCATCGTCAATCTTATTGAAGAGATTAGTATTGTTAATAATTATTATATATAAGGCTTTTTCAATGGCGCCTACTGCAATTGGCAACATTAAAGATGCTAAAAGGATATATAAAGGAAAAAGTTTTATGGATTCTAAACGCAACCATCTTCTTAGAATCATCATCAATATTTTGCAATACATTAATTATTTCTGCTTTGCTCATTTTATATATCCACACTTGGAGTTGATCTTTAATCTCAATTTGTTCATCAAACGTTAAGAGCTCATGTGTAGCTCACATATTGAGAACAAGAATAATGTTCGTAAAACGCAATCTCGAGCATTCTGAGCTAAACTAGTTACTCGATTTAATAGCAGAAACTCATTGGGTGGATCGTGAATTTGCCTCCTTACCCAAAGAAATTGGTCCCATCATGGCATGGGTAGTGAATAGGGTTATCTTATCTATCATGTGGGCAAAGGTCCTATAATTGTGGCCTTTCAACTTCACACATCGAGCGAGTGGATGATTGAGTAACTCGATGGATGTGTATATGTCGTGGTGTTAGCTTCGGGGAAGACCTCATTACTCAAATCAACCTAATGGGATGACCATTTGAAATGTGGTCGACTTCATAGGATAACCTTCAAGGAAGTAGTCAACCTCATGAGTTGACCATCGTGAAGATGGAAGACCTAAAAAAGGTGGACTACGGTTGCCTTAGTTGGGTTGTGCAACAGTTGTATGGGGAGTGACACGGCCGACCTCATGAGACGACCTTCAAAAAGATAATTGACCTCAGCATTGAGCAATGTGGCCAACCTCATGGGATGACCCTTGAGAAGGGAGGTTGACCTTATACGATAACCTGCAGGGAAATTGCAAACCTCATAAGATGATCTTCATGAAAATATTTGACCTCATGACATGACCCTTGGTAGATGGCCGACTTCATGGGATGACCTTGCCTAGATGACCAGCCCCTCAACCTCACACGAAGAGCCTCACTAAGGTGACCAAACTCATTGAATAACCTTCGAGATGGTGGCCAACCTAATGTGATGACTGTTGCGAAATTTGATGAGCTCATAGTAGGTGGCCTTGAAGAAGATGAGTAGATGACTAAACTCGATGGATGACCCTTGGGAAGATGGTTGCCGTCATGGGATAATTCTTGAAAAGGTCGATCACCTACTACATGAGAATAACTCACATATAGCAAAGCGAGGACTAGGCAGAGCTTGCTCGGCCGAGAAGGGTGTCAGACCGAGATGCCTAGAGCTCGGCTAGCAAATACTCGAAGCTATGACTGAGCCTGAGCACCAAGAAAATTTGTTAAACGCCTTAAGGAGTAGTGTTACAAGCTCTCAACTCTTTGCTCGAAAATTATTGATTCCTGCAAACGTCTCGATTTCTCATGGTTAACAATGTACTAATTGAATTGCGTGGGTTGAGGGGATCGTCTTCTTTACTTGATCGGAGGGAGGATTTGACATTCCACACCCCCAGGCAATAGTTGGTAACTTGTTGAATGTCGCTAAGTGGCAATAGTTAGTTACTCCACTAATCAAGCCTTCTTTACTACGTACTTGGTAAAAAGGATGTCAATAAGTGGGCCCTCATGTCCCACTTTTTCTGCTTTAAGTAACTTGTTTAAGATTGATTAGTTGACGTCTCGCTTTTTCTTGGTAAAGTTGAGCGTCAATAGTTGGTAACTTGTTGAATTCCTAACTTGCAATTAGTTGATCGGTCTGGTCTTAAGAAAGAATCCGTTTGATAACGAGTTTGAAAAAGTAGAGAGGTAAAAGAAACTTGTATAGAAAGAACTCACTCACTTACTAATGGGAGCCGCATATACTGTTACAGAGTCCTGTATTGTTTACAAATTTACATTTTGATTGAGGATATCAACCTTCTTCTCTTCTCTTCTCTTTTTAAGGTCATCGCTATCCTCAAACCTCGGGTCAGATTGCTGATGGCGTCACACTACTGTGAGTAATCCTTGAACCCAGGCTCGAACTCGAGCCTGACGATGTCACGCCGCCACCGAAGCACGCAAACAAGTTCCGGACAGCCCTCCTCAAGCCACCACTTCGCCTCCGTGACGCCACATTCCCCCAAGAAATCCTCCTCGCCACTCCATTTCCGTTGAGTCCGCCGTCCACTTCAGTGTACACGAGAGGAAGCTCTCTCTCCCCTCCCCTTCTTCCGCCGGCAAACCTTCCCACGGCGAATCCTCCCCCGGGCAATCTCCATATTGTCAACCCCACGGTTTGATCTACGTTGGCCGTGGCGGCGCTTTGGTCGTTGGTTGATGGCACGCTGTTTGGCTCCTCCGAGTCTCCGGCGGGGAGTTCATATCTGCAAACAGGGCATGAATTTCGCAGTGACAGCCATGGGAGGATGCAATCTGAATGGTACAAATGTTTGCAGGGCATTTCCCGGGCCTCATTACAGAGCTCAAATGGATCCTTACAAACAGCACAATGGGACTCTGAAGCTATGTGAGAGTCCACGATTTCAATGGTGGGCAGCGAAGCGATCGCCGCTTTTGACGCCGGCGGCCTCTCCATTCTTCCAAGCCCATTGGCTTCAATCTGGGCCAACTGATCCAACAATCTGTCGAACCCCGACCCGAGTAGAAACTCCGACATGGTGGATGGTAATGGCCTCAACCCCGACCCTGCCCCGTCGTCATAGTAAAGCTGAAACCCAGCACCACCGCCGTTGTCGGACGGCCCTCGGAGGACAATCACCGGGTTAAACGGAGATCTGTCTCCCCCACTTCTTCTGCTCCTCCTGAACCTCGGGCTTGACCCGGAATCTGACCCGGAATTTAGACCCGAATTTGGCAACATGTACATCGCAGCAGCGGCGGGGAAACGGCGGCGACGAGATTCGGAGACTGAGGATCTCGCCGGATTGTCTGCCTCCTCGATGAAGCCGCTGTTGCAATCGGGGCATGATATTGAATCTCGGGTCCAGACCCTTACGAACCTATTGCATCTGTAACACCAATACGTGGTAGACATCGACATTTACCGAAAACGAGAATTGAAATTCCGAGTTGAGATTTCAGATCTGGAATTTGGAATACATATTACAGGAAAAGGTCAGGTTTTGATGAGAATTTTCTAATTCTTTACGTAATCCAATTGTTGGATGTTAATTGATTAAGTTACTCAAGCAAAAAGGAAAACATAAGGGGAGGGGGCAGAAGGAATTGAAAAAGGCATGCCAGCGAAGAGAAAGAGAAGGATGATGAATGCGGGTGATGGAATGGAGAAGAAGCTTAAAAGATGAGATTATTATAACGAATTTAAAAAGGAGAGGCTGAGGGCAGAGGTGTAAAACCAAGCTATGACTGAGAGGTGGCGTCAAATCAACGCTTTAGTGGTACTTGATCATGCCAAAACAAAAAACAAGTGGATATTAATTGATGACAATTCTTGGCAGTATTTAAAATGACATTTTCAGACAAAAAAGTTTGGCCTTTTTTATTTGAGCTTATACGAGTGGGTGTAGTGTGTTTGGAATTTTGGATGTGTTATTTAAGATTATTAATTAAAAACAAAAAATAAGTTAGTATCGGAGTGTTTGGATGAACATGTAAAAGTGTTTCGAAAGTTCAAAATTTTGTTAGAGTCCATTGTTTAGAACTTGAGTGAAACAAACTTTCTGAAAAATTGATTTTGATTGTACTTTTAATTATAAAATACATAACCAGAATCAATTTCAAACACTCCTTAAGCCGGATTGTACAATAGGAGAATGCCCAATATTTATCGTCAACATGAATATTTACATATTGTTTATGGGTTGATGTTTTGTATAAAGAGTTTTTTCTTCAAAATGTTATTGATTAACAAAAATATGATTAATACGGAGTAGTTACTATAGTATAATGTCATACTCATTTAAAATGTTAAAATTGAACATAAGTTATTATGACTAAGTTATTGTTATACTCAATACGCTTAGGAGGTCACGCTTTTATAAATAACATTAATTAATCATAACTAGATAGTTATTTTTTAATAGAAAGAAACTAATGATTCTTCTATTTGCGAAGGAAGATAATATTGTGAAGCTAAATGACATTATAAATTAAAAGGGAAAATGTACAAATATACCCCTGTAGTATGGGTGTGGGAACAGATATATCCCTGTTCTATTTTTCGGGACAAATATACCCCTGAACTTTTAAAAGGGTGCAAAAATATCCCTCGTTTTCTTATAAAGGGGCAACTTAATCCTTATTGACTTTAAATTAATAAAATAAATTTCAAAAAACCCCAAATATAAATTATAAATTCGAAATTTAAAAAAATTTAAAAATGTAATAGTGTCCAATTCTCCCTTTTATAGTTTTTATATCACAATTTAATAGTGTTTACGTATGAAATATTATTTCAAAATTTTACCATATGTTTAAGATTCTTTCGAAAAGGTGCTAACATATGTTTTGCAATGTAGAGAAAAAATAATTTTTTGCATTCTTTGCACTATAATATTACATATTTTGAAATAATATTTTATACTAAAAATATTAAATTGTGATATAATTTAATAAAGGGAGAAATGGACATAATTACATTTTCAAAATTTTTTTTTTATTTTCGATTTATTAATTTATTTTTGGTCTTTTTTGAAATTTATTTTAATAATTTTAAAGTCAATAAGGATTGAATTGCTTCTTTATAAAAATGAGGGATATTTTTGTACCTTTTTAAAAGTTCAAAATTGATTTGCCAATATTGACTGACATGAAAAATAAGGAGAAACAAAAAACTTTGACTGGATTAAATTTCCCTCCACTTAACTGACGACGCAAGCCATTTTAAAAAAAAAAAGTGCACAGTACAAAGCATGCCACTAGATTACGAAGCATTTGAAATCCAATTATTAATTAATAAAGGAATATGTGGATCGCATTACAAAGTACAATAAAGGAAGATGTGGACTGCATTACAAAATACACTAAAGAAAGATGTGCAATGGATTGAATTACAAAGTACAGTGAAGTGAAATACATGGATTGACTTTTCACAACTCGTAGCCAAAAACATGGAGGGAAATACATGGCAAATACAAAAATTTCCAGAAAACAACTTTAAAATTTTCCCCTTTCCATCCATTACTACATCTCAATAAATACAAAGAGGCTTGTTCTTGTATTACTCCACGGTACTACCCATCTATCATCTAAATGGATATATAATAACACTTCTTTTTCAGTGTCACCAAGTGTTGACCTGCAGCAATATACTCCCTCTCCAACAAACCTTGCATTAACTCTAGTACCTGAAGAAATACACCAGAGAGGCGGTGTGAGTGACTCTAGCAAAAAAAGGTAAGTACCATTTATTGAATGAAACAGAGAGAAACAATGCAATGAAGGCTCTTTTAGCCAAATGTGTGAATAGGCAAATCAATAAAGGCATAATACAGTCTGTTGCTAATCAAGTTAGCGTGTCAAGGGGCACAATTTGTGGAGTTTGGCAGAGAGTGCAGACACAGATGAGGTATGGGTAAGAGATTGATGTCATGCCTAGGTAGAAAGAGAATTGCAATAAATCTGGAACAAATCAAAACAATCCATATTCACAGAAGAAGCACACTGAGGTCATTGGCAGTAGAACTGCAATATTCTAAATTAATAGTTCAAAGGTATGTGAAGATGAAGGAAATCAAGCGACACTCAAATGCTTTGAAGTCATTTTTTACTGAAAAAGGTAAGACAACAAGAATGCATTTGTGTTTAAGAAATTTACTTGCTAACACAATTCCGTCCAATCCCACATTTCATGATTTTTATAATTATGTGCATATAGATGAAGAGTGGTTCAATTTAACTAGAGAAAATGAACATGTCTATATGCACTCGAATGAGCGTGACCCCTATAGAGCAGTTCAAAGCAAAAGATTTATTCATGAAGTTATGCTTCCAGCGGTTGTTGGAAGGCCTAGAATTTCTGAAAATGGAGATGTTTTGTGAGATGGAAAAATTGAAAATTTTCCTTTCACTTATCAAGATACTGCTAAACGAAAAAGCAAAAATAGGGAAAACGGAACACTGTTGACTAAACCAATTGTGAGCTTCACAAGGGAAGTTGTGAAGGAATTCATGATTGAAAAAGTATTGTCAGCGATCAAACAAAAATATCCAGGAGGAAGCAGAAAAGTAGGCATACAACAATATAATGTGAAGCCACATATCGACAGTCATGGCAGTGAATTTATAGTTGTTACAACAGAAAATGGTTGGGATATTTCCTTAATTTGTCAACCACCTAATAGCCCGGATCTCAATGTTTTGGACTATTGATTCACTTAAACATAAAAAGGACCTATATAGAAATATTGATATTCTAGTGAATCATGTTCATGAATCGTTTCATGAGTTAGACCCAAGAAATCCGAACCATGTGTGGCTAACTTTGCGCCATGTAATGGTAGAAGTGTTAAAATGCAAGGATCACAACAATTACAAAGTGCCTCATATTGGTTAGGGAGCATTGGAAAGATTAGGAATTCTTCCAATGGTTATTTATGTTGAGCCTAATCTTTTATCATACAAATTTTCATAGCTTTTATCATGCTATCTAGTAACACAAATCTAAAACTACTTTAACGAAAGGTTATTATTTCGTATTATGTATTTTATTTCAGTTGAGCCTAATGTGTATTATTTACTAAAGTATTCGCTAATATAAGATTTTATTTCAATTATGGATATAGTTGTTTCTTTGGCCTCATCTCAAAGGGCTACCTATTTAATTTCATCCTATTTGAAAGTAATTGATTTCATCTCAAAGTATTATGTCGCTGCGCAAAGTCCAAGGTGTTTAGTTAAACTAGAGAAGTAATGAACGGATAGAGTTTTGAATACAAAGTACACATTATCTATTTATATTATTCAAATTTAAACTATTATACCCCCTCCGTATTTTAAAGTTTGCTACACTTTCCTTTTTGAGATGTATTTAAAAGTTTGTGTTAGGACTTTTTTCTGGTGTCCAATCTAGTTAGATGTCTTTGTATCTGTGTAGTTGTTAGTTAAATGTGTAATATGGGCCACAATTGAATATTAGCCCATTAGCCTCTCTTGTAAGCCATAAGTTAGCCATCCTCTCCTATAAAAGGAGGCTAACTTATGAGAAAACCTAGCTAAGGCATAGAGCATAGAGGCAGAATAGAGAATAGATTAGCTTTTACGCTGCTCTCTCTCTCTAGAGGGAGAGCAGCGGCCGGTTTACACGGTGTACCAAAGTTCTCGATACTTTGATATGAATGATAAATCTATCTGCTTCTTCTTTCACTGTTCTATGATTGTATGATTGTTAGAAATAGGGATCAACATGTGGTATCAGAGCCGAGGCGTGAAATAGATTGGATTCATCTACGTTTTCGGATCTGCAAAACTGATTTCTAGAGAAAAACCACCCATTTTGAAAAACTGATTTTTCGAGATTTTTGGTTTGGCTGATCTGTTTTCAACGATTTTCTTTGATTTCTGGAAGATTAGGATCAAAATCTGTTTGAAAACATCCTTAAATTCTGTTTCTGAAGTGTTTTTGAAAATGGAGTTTTCGATGTTTTGTTGTTTTTGCAACTTTTCGATACTCAAAGATTTCGACGTTTTGGAGTTTCTCGATGTTTAGTATATTTCGAACTCTGGCTTTTCTCAAAACTCAGGATTTTTCGAATCTTGATATTTTTGGCAGTTTTCGAAACTTTAACAGCATTTTTCGATGTTTACAGATTTCCAATGATTAAATAAGTTTTCGAAATTCTGAAGGTTTTTAAAGGAAGTTTTCGATGTTCTGACCTTTTTGAAAAGGCAAAGTTTTCGATATCCTAAACTGGTACGAAACTCTAAAGTTTTCGAAGTCTTGAGCTTTTCGATGTTAATCTTTGATATCATGTTTCTCACAGATTGCAGGTCGAAAACAGGTTTCTCGCAGCTGATATTCGAAAACAGGTTTCTCGCCATTTGATGTTCGAGAACAGGTTTCTCGATATTTGAACTCGAAAACAGGGTTCTCGCGGACGAACTTCGAAAACACATTTCTCGCAGATTGAACTTCGAAAACACGTTTCTCGCAGCTTGAACTTCGAAAACATGGTTCTCGACATTCAAATACCGAAAAAGAACTTTTCGATATTCGATATCGGGAAAAAATTTCGATATTCAAACATCGAGAAAAAGTTTTCGATACTCATTCATAGAAAAAAAAGGATTTTTCGATATTCGTTTATCGAGAAGGCGTTTTCGATATTCAAATATCGAGAAGATGTTTTCGATACTCAACATCGAGAAGATGTTTTCGATACTCAACATCGAGAAAAAGTTTTCGGCATCCAATATCGAGAAAAAGATCTCGAGATTCAACCTCGAGAACCTCACTTTCGAAATTTCCAAAAATTTTCATTTTTCAAACTTTTCGATGTCTTGCACTGTTTTGGCCATAACTTTTGACTCGGTGATCCGATTTACGCGTATAATACCTTTTCGGAAAGCTCCCTCACTCGCCGTTTTTGAGGGAGATATCACCTATTTTCCGAAAAATCACCAAAGTCAAAGTCAAGGTCAAAATTGAGGCAAATCTGGTCAATTCTTCCAAAATCAAACCAAAGTCAAACCAAATGTCAAAGTTGGTCTAATCTACATTGTAAGGTCCGGAACTCGTAGATAATTCAATCAACCTCGCGTCAACGGTCATTTCACAACAATCAACAATCAACTACTGATGCCTCCCCTAACTCATCAACAATGTGTGATCATCACTGTGCTAAAATTCTAGACGATGAGTTCAGGGTAAACCGTCATGTGTGGTACTTGTACAGATTGCTCCATACACATGGCAGGTATATCAAGCTGTGAGCAATCAAACCTTGCACAATCAGAGGGGGAGTTACAGTTTTCTCCTCCTAGCGCCACACAACGACAAAGCAAGGATTCTCTCAAAGGATGCAACATTTGAGGGAGAGTTTTTAATTTTGTCCTCCTCGGTACCGAACGATGAAAAAGCATACCGAGTGCTCCAGTTGAGGGGGAGTACAGAGAGAAAATGAAGAAACAAAGAGAATGAGAGAGAAGTCCCTATGGCTTAGTAAACCCAACTAAGCCTGCCCAAGGACAAAGCCGAGAGTAAATGAGTGAATGTGTGAGTGAGTGAATACTATGAGCGTTAGGAAGCAGAAAGCTCAAGTGAGCAAGAAAACAATATTCAATGATAAATCGGCTACCTCAACTGCCTACTATCAATTGATCAATTACTCACAGTCACTCAAATACTCTGGACAATCCCCATAGGTTCAGGACTGAATTTATTCAGATCCTGGGTAGAAGTCACTGCATCTTGTCCAACAGTGCATGCATAACCCTACCCAAGACCACTCATTTGTCTCCCAACAGACAAGTGTTTAATCATATTTCACGGGGAACCTCATCTCTCATTACTGTCTCCTTCCGAGGCAAGTGATATTGACTACAGTGGCCTCAGCCCCATGCCACTGGACTTTCATTGATCACGCTTTGTCTAGTTATCTCACTCCCAAATGTTTTTGAATTTTCTAGGACACAAACACATTTTTGAGTCAGTTGCAGGTCCAAGTGACCATGCGAGAACTTCCATAGGGCTCATCTACTATAGATAGACCGATGATTGGAAGGAAGTCCTGCTGTTGCAACATAGAAATCACCAACACGTTCAGGCCATTGCTTTAGAGTTTATCTCTACAGTGATGATAACGAGCGTCTTCACGACCTCGGGGGGCTACCACTTTCATTGCTGATCTTTATGATCATGCCTTAACAACCAGAGTGACATCTACTTCAGATGCTTCATAATGATTGGTTGGAAGTCCTGTTAGAGCTTTAATGCTTCTATCATTTTATACAGGCCACACATCAGTGTTTACATTGATGTTGTGTTAACGGAACACTTCTGTGTATCCGGTCTTTATCTTTTAACTTTTCTGTTTGTTTTCAATTTTGTTACCCAGAATAAAAGAATAAAGGCATGACGCCCCGATTCATCGGATCGTCATGAGGGGGAGAGTGGTCCACATGCTGTTTACTAACAACAAATCATTTTTGGACACTTTCTCCACTATCTCTACTGCTACATGGCCAAGCCAGCTTCAAGTCAAATGGTCAGCTACGCTCACAAGTCAACTATCTTATTCCGTTGTGCCACTGACGAGATCTTCTCAAAGACAATAATTTTCCGCTGTGCAATGTAAACTTTGAGGAGACAAAGGTCAAGTATTCAAGTTCTGAAGATGAATCCTGTGTGCGCCTGTATATCAACCGACCACTCATTCCATAGGCGCCATCGGAATTCATTAATGCTGATCAAGAGCAACTTCTGAAAGGTAAAGATCATAAGCTACATCCTGAAGATTCTTCAACTCCCCGGCATCAAAGAACAAATTGCCATGAAGACATCAAAGGGGAGATTGCAAGGATTTCTTCAAAAAGCCTTTTCAAGAAGCCGAGCGCAAAGACAAAGGAAGCTGAGCTGCATTGAGGAGCAACTGAACACAAAGACAAAGACATCCGCGCTGCAATGCTGATCAAACAAGATTGAACACCAAGGGAGAGATTGTTATGACTTTTTTCTGGTGTCCAATCTAGTTAGATGTCTTTGTATCTGTGTAGTTGTTAGTTAAATGTGTAATATGGGCCACAATTGAATATTAGCCCATTAGCCTCTCTTGTAAGCCATAAGTTAGCCATCCTCTCCTATAAAAGGAGGCTAACTTATGAGAAAACCTAGCTAAGGCATAGAGCATAGAGGCAGAATAGAGAATAGATTAGCTTTTACGCTGCTCTCTCTCTCTAGAGGGAGAGCAGCGGCCGGTTTACACGGTGTACCAAAGTTCTCGATACTTTGATATGAATGATAAATCTATCTGCTTCTTCTTTCACTGTTCTATGATTGTATGATTGTTAGAAATAGGGATCAACAGTTTGCTACACTTTCCTTTTTTGGTATGTTTTTCCTTTAAGAATACACAATTACCCTTATTTTTCGACTTTTTATCTTCTCTTTTATACTTTTTCGCACTCGCTCCTACTTTTTCTACGCTATTCATTACCCCTACTGTTTTCTCCTAAAATATTGTGCCAAAAGCTATTGTAGAGAACATATAAATACGGATGGAGTATATTATAACTATAATGGAATATATATAATTCGTATATATATTCGATACGAAAATTATTCAAATACCAAAATAATATAATTATTTGTATATTTTCTTTGATCATCAAAACATGCCTCTATTCATATCAAAAGATTCATCAGGATCATTACATCAAGCAAAGGGAAAATAAAACAGACACCAACTGAAACTCCAACAACTACGACTGTAACCCTATGGTGAGACTTTGAGACGGTTACCCCTGAAAGAGCAACACGAATCGCTAACCATGTAGTGAGCTTGACACAGCCAAAACCATTCCCATAGATCCAACCATACCCAATGACATAAAGAGAGGCAAAAAACTCAAACAAACTGTCAAACCCAACAACAAAAATGGATGCAAGAAAACAAATAACAAACAGATAAAAACTACAAGAAAAACGTTCACGAACTCTAGCACCTCGTGCATCCCATGGTGGTGGTTCAGGAGGAGGTCTTACCACTGGTACCATGCTAATTGATCCTCCATGACCTTTGGCTGCCAAAGACCATGCATCAATCCTCCGTCCCTGCATAACCAAACTCATCCCTGCTCCGTGCGACCAGAGTAAGCGGACAGGCGGCGCCGATCTTCTCCAACGACGTCAACAACGCCGCATCCTCAAACCTTGACCACAGCGCCGATCTCCTCGAGCCATGACAACAAATCTGCCCTCCTCCACCGATCTCCGCCCTCCGTATCTGACCTGGACTCCAGTCGAGCACCAGCGACCAAGGGATAACAAACCCGATCTTCGATAAAGTCGAAATCGGAAAAAGGCTCCAGCGGCCGACATAGTCAAAGCCCTAGAGAGAAAAACTCGTGATCGCTCTACCTTAGACAAAAGCAGACTATTGCTCCGCGGCCAGATATGCGAACAAGAACAGCCGAACTTCGATCAATATGATCGAATTCGAAAAAAAAAAAACCTAGAGGCAGCTTTGAATATATATAAATTGGCATTCAATTATTTTGAATTTGAATTTAATATTACAAATTTGAATGAGATCAAAATTATTTGATTCGTTTAGCTCAGTTAGCCATTTGATGGACCTTTGATGGACCTTTCGCATTGAGGCCCACACTTTATGAATCAGGCACCCATCCTTATTCTTTAGCCGTCAGCCCTGAAAAACTGTTCCGTTCTCTCCTTCTTGCTCAACACACGCTGCGCAGGGAGCTAAATAATCGAGTAAGTTTATGCTAATTATATCAAGCAATTTAATTTAGTGCAGTGTCGACATTTGCGGCGTGTAGCGTAATTCCGCTGTTTTACTTATGAAATTTATTTCCAGCTTACCCCAAAAGAAATCTGATTGTATGTGAAGAATTTTTGTAAAAATGGCTTCAAATTTGGATCTCGTACCAGCAACCCCAAGAAATCGTGATCCAGCTTGGAAACATTGTCAGATTTATAAAAACGGGGATAAGGTTCAGCTGATGTGTATTTACTGTGGGAAGATATTCAAAGGTGGTGGAATTTTTAGACTTAAAGGACATTTGGCTGGCAGGAAGGGTAACGGCTCAACTTGTTCGAGAGTTGAACCTGATGTTCAGATTTCAATGCAAGAGTGCCTCGATTCTGCCCCAATGAAGGGTAAGAGGCATAAAAGTTCAGAAAAGATAAGCACAACCGATGACTCCCTTAGTATTGAATTGTCACAGTCAAGATCACAAAAACGTGACCCTGCTTGGAAGCATTGTGAAATGTATAAAGATGGGGATAAGGTTCGTCTCAAATGTATATATTGTGGGAAGATATTTAAGGGTGGTGGGATTCATAGGCTTAAAGAACATCTGGCTGGTCAGAAGGGCAGTGGCTCTACTTGTTTGAGTGTTCAACCAGATGTTCGGCTTTCAATGTTAGAGAGATTGAATGGTGTTGTATTTAAGAGTAAGAAGAGAAAATTCGCTGACCAGATTGACACTGAAAGTGGGTTGGATGTGGAAGTTGAATTGCTTCCTTTCCCTGATCCTCATGAGCAAACTGGTAGTTTATTCGGTAGTCCAGAAGAAAGGAAAAACTGCAAATTGCCAATAACTGTGGTTGCCCCACTTGGTAGTAACCAGGACCAGGCGGGGTCTTCAGGAAGGATAAACAATGATGAAGTCCATATGGCTATAGCTTGTTTCTTGATTGATGCTGGGGTGCCCTTTGATGCTGTAAATTCACCTTATTTCCAGCCTATGGTTGATGCAATTGCTTCCCAAGGATTCGGGTTTGTGGGCCCCTCTTACCATGAACTTCGAAGCTTGATTTTCAAGAACTCAGTTCAAGAGCTCAGGGATGAAATCAACCAATGTGCCGCCACATGGGAAAGAACTGGCTGTTCTGTTTTGGTTGACGAGTGGACGACAGAGAATGGTCAACTGTTTATAAACTTCTCGGTTAACTGTCCAGATAGGACAATCTTCTTGAGATCCGTGGACATATCTGACATCATTAGATCTGATGATGGTCTTTTTGAATTGCTTAAGGAGGTCGTAGAAGAAGTTGGCGTGAAAAACATATTGCAGGTTATTACCAGCACTGAAGAGAGATATTTAGCTGCCGGTAAAAGACTAACCGAAGCTTTCCCCACAATTTTTTGGAGTCCTTGTGCTGCACAGTGCATAGATTCTATACTTGAGGATATCAAGAGGCTTCAATGGGTAAATGCAGTACTTGAACAAGCCAAAGCTTTATCAATCTTTATATACAATAACAGTTTTATTCTGAACATGATGAGGCGTTACACTTTAGGAGTTGATTTAGTTGAATTGGGAGTGACTCCTTCATCAACTGACTTCTTAACGTTGAAACGAATGGTAAATATGAAACACAATTTACATTCAATGGTTAATTCAGAGGAATGGAGGGAGAATCCGTATACAAACAAGAAACTGGAGGGATATGAAGTGTTAGATTTTATCAGCAGTGATTCCTTTTGGTCAGACTGTTGCTTGATTAACCGCTTAGCAGGCCCTCTCTTGAGGCTTTTGAGGATAGTCAGTTGCCCAAAGAAGCCTGCAATGGCATATGTTTGTGCTGGTCTATATGAAGCCAAAGAAACAATAAAGAAAGAGTTTGTTGATGAGTATTTAGTGTACTGGAATATTATAGACAAGAGATGGGAACAACTTAGGCACCATCCTTTACATGCTGCTGGATTTTACCTTAATCCGGAGTTGTTTTATAGAACTGGGGAAGATGTGAACCGTCGGATGAGATCACTAGTGTATGATTGTGTGGAGAGGATGATTGATGATCCTAAAGTTCAAGACAAAATTGTGACAGAAACTACTTTTTACCAAAATGCAGATGGAGATTTTGGGCGAGAAATGGCAGTTCGAGCCAGGGAGACTATACTTCCTGGTGAGTACTTGCAGATAATTTAATGAAATCTTAGTGGTTCTTATATTTGTACTCCATGCGTTTTTATATAACTGTCCATAAGGAAAAAATTATATGCTTCGAGATGGTAGTCAATTTTGTCATAAGTTGACAAATCATACCCCTAATTGATTTCTAGGAAAACTGATTCAGATTTTGTTTATTGGGCCTGCTATATGGACGCTTGTTTGTGAATAAAAAACCTTTAGGGTTTGTTTGGTTAAGGGATTTCAGAGGGAAGGGAAGGAGATGATTGTTTTTTATCTTACTAGTTTATTTGTAGTTGTTAGTTCTAAACTAAAAACAAATTAGTTCAATATTGTTTCTTTATCTTCACTTTATTTTCACACTTTTAAATGTAGAAATTATTAAAACAATAAATATTACCCTCCCGTTCTCTCCCCTATGAAATCCTTGAGCCATGCAAGACCTTAGTTAATAAACAGTTATTTGAGAATGGAGAGTCACTAAACTTTATTTTCACCATAATAATCATTTGGTGGACGCTTTGGGAATGAAAGTTATTTGTTATTTGGTGTCTCTTCTTTTCAGTTTGGATATTACAAAATGACTATGGTGATATTTTGTCTTTCAAAAAAAGTGATCCATTTATGCTATGTTGAACCTTATGTGCAAGTGGCTATACACAAAATTTATTTGATATATGAATTTTTAATAGGATGGAGGGGTATAATCTTTCCTGGCACTTGAGGATATTAGTCTTATAAAAACTTCATGGTTTAATGCAACCAGTGCTTATATGTGAGCTTAAAAAACACTTACCCATGAACTTTAATCACAGGTGAGTGGTGGTCAGCATATGGTGGGGGTTGCCCAAATTTGGCTCACTTTGCCACCCGGATTGTCAATCAAACATGTAGTTTGATAAGTGGCAAGCCAAACAGAGTTCGTTCGGAGTGGATAAACAGAAAAATGAACTGTGTAGAGCATGAGAGGCTCAAAGACCTTATCTTTGTACGATCTAATTTACGCATGAGGTAAATATCAGCTGATGAATATGCCTTCCTTTCAAGAGCCCATTTGATAACACCTGAAATGGCTAAAGTTGCTGAATCTGCTGAATTTTCTATGAAAGAACTAATTAGAAAATAATTTTTAAATGTTCTTAAGAAAATATAAAGAAGTGTAAGGCCGGAATGACATTTTCTTTAATCCTAGCCAAAACAATATCTCTTGGACTACTTTTTTATCATCACAAGCTAATCCAGTGAGCCCAGGAAAATAAGTTAGCGCTTGATGACAAATCTAGTAGATAAGCCAAGATAACGGGTTCAAAATCTTTCAAGAGTCCGTTTGGCAACACTGTTTTTCAGCTTATCAGGCTTATCAACCTTTTTTTCACCAAACACGTAATTTTTGCTTTCGCGCGCTAAATTGTGTAATAAGCAGAAAAAGTAAGGTTGAAGTTACTTTTCTGGCTGTATTGGCTGAAGTTACTGTAGATGACCATTTTAGCTATTTTTACATATAATTTTTTCTTTATTTTATTAATAAAATATATTTTAAAGATAATTTTTTCTTAAATCAGCAGAATCAGCCAATGCAGCCACTTCAGCCATAACTTCATAAATTTAAGCAGAATCAGCCAAAATAGCTGATTTTCGTGCTATCAAACGGGCTCCAAAGGTGTAATAAGTAGGGAGAAGTTGTGTTCTTTCTTTTGTTGTTGATTAATTTTTATTGCAGAAGACACGTGAATAGAGAACAGAATCAGTGGGACCCCATTGCATTTCAAAACATAGCTCTTGCTGGGGACTGGGTTTCAGGGAAAGAGGTATTGTACTCAAAGGACATGTGCTATTCAGATTGGACTGTTGTTGATGCGCCTTTAGGCAATGGAATGCTCTCAGGTCCTACAATTGGTGATGATGAACCAGTGGGTTCAGGTAAGTGCATTTGTTCACACTAAAAAGAGAGACCAATAAATTGGGTCGATGGCTATTGATTTCATCTTAATGTTTCTCAGGTTTCAATGATTGTGAAGTTTGGGGCTTCTGACGGGTTAAGAATTTTGAAGAAGAAGGTGAGGGAACATTATAAACCTGACAGAAAAAGCTTTCAACCATGTAGTTTGATTAGTGGCAAGCCAAATGTGACTCTTATAATAGTTGTTCTGGAGGACTGTAGATGTGTTTGATGGCCTGATATTGTTAGAGATGGGGAAACATAATGTGTTCTCTTTCCTCCATTTGCTAGGTGCATTCTTCTGTATAGCAACGATGAGGCCTAACATTCTACGGTCGTAATGCTTATTTTTTCAGTGATGGCAAGTCGATAACACAAGTCATTGGTAGATTTGAGTAAGCAATTTAGATTAGTTTCGGCAGAAGCAGTGGTCAGTTTGGCGGTGTCGGCAGTTGATGTTGCAGAAGTCAATGGTGCAGCTTATAGTTATGGCTGCAACTAACCTCAGCATGGCGACAATGGTCAGTATGGTGGAAATTGAAGTCTGTATTGACAGAATTTAGTGTTGCCGCGAAGGTGGTCAGTATAGGCATAGCAATATGTGAGCGAGGCCAAGTTGGTGTTCTAGCGGCAGTTTAATCATTCCATTTTCTTCTTTGTAAAATAATACGCCACACTCTTTATTTATCAACCCTTCGTATTTTATGAATTAATAAATCATTTTTTATTCCATAAAAAATTGTGCCTTCTATTTTCTCACCTATTTGGTCACATTTTTTTCGGGATAAGGGTCAGTCTGGTCCTCGAAGTTGCAAAAAAGGAGTCAAATAAGTCCTTATATAGAAGATTCTGTCTGGAAGTGCCATTTGAGATGGCTCCCAGTGGAATTTTTTGATGAAATTTTTTGAGCATCTTATTCATTAAGTCTAGTTTACTCATATCAAATTTCAGATAAAAATTCAATCGGGAAGACATTCAAATGAATTCTTGAAGATAATTGTGCCGTTAAAAGCGCAGTTATCTTCAAGAATTCATTTGAATGTCTTCCCGATTGAATTTTTAGCTGAAATTTGGTATGAGTAAACTAGACTTAATGAATAAGATGCTCAATAAATTTCATCAAAAAATTCCACTGGGAGCCACCTCAAATGGCACGTCCGGACAGAATCTTCCATACAAGGACTTATTTGACACCCTTTTTGCAACTTCGAGGACCAAACTGACCCTTTCCTCCATTTTTTTCCTTTCATTACTTTTTTTTCTTTCATTCTGCAATTCCACCTATAAAAGAGACGGAAAAAATTCTACCTTCTGTTGAATGATCTTTTTACAATCAATTGATAATTGATATATTTGGAATGTTTTTAATTAAATTGAAATTTTGTGGTCTAATTTGATAGATATTTATTCTATGTTTATTTTACAGCTATCAAAGTCTAGTAAAAAAAAGTCTAGTAAGGTCGGGTTTGGATGGGTTGGATCCATTATTGAAAGTAGTCCAATTAAAAACATCCAATTAAAAACATCCAATAGTGATCTAAAACCTCCAACAGTTGAAACCACATATTTTTTAATTTGTACTTGCAATACTGGTGTCATATGAAAGATCCTAAAAAATTGTGACTTTTGATATAAATTTATGCAGAATTAACCGATCCAGCCAATTTCTTTGTTACCAAACGGGCTCTAGATTTATTATGATTTTTAAGATATTGATATTCGATATTTCTGGTTTAATTAAGTGAAACACTTGTATATATATTTCATAGTCCAAATATTAATTAAAGAAGTATCATGATAGAGTTCTAGGAAAGTAGATCAAAGTTATAGGTATACCATATGCGGCTGCCTCCCTCGTGTGTTGGGTTTGTTCTCTCGGTGCGATTTTCTGCACCGCAAGTTGATCGACGGATTTGGGGTCTTTGTTCACAGCAAAGCATCGGGTTCGGGCTGTTTTGGAGGGCAAGAAGGCAGAGCCAACTTTTCGATTGCAGCAGACCATCGAATGATCATGGTGCTCGGTGGTGATGAGGAAGAATTGATTCTGGACGAGGAGGTCGATGGCGAGGAGGAGGCTTCGAACCGGAGCAGTAATCAGGGATCTCATGGCGTCTATCTGGCGCCCCGGAAAAGGAATATCTATCAAAGAGATAGGCGAGAAGAGGTACTTGTTCACTTTTTATCATATTGTTGACATGGAACGTGTTCTAGGTGGTGGACCGTGGCTATACAAACAAAATTTATTAGTATTGCGAGCGCTGAAACCGGGGGATGTCCCTCTTAGGGTTCCCCTAAATGAGGCCGAGTTTTGGGTGTAGGTACATAGCGTACCATGATTATATGAATTTAGGAGTTGTTAGGAGAGTTGGTAACTTCATTGGTAAATTTATCAGTTTTGACGAAAGTCAATTTGAAGAGCGTTGGAATTCTTACATGAGAATTAGAGTCTGTATGGATGTTGGTAAGACTTTGAAAATAGGTACGACGCTGAGGAAAGGGAGGGAAGTCGGGCATAGAGTGGACTTTAAATATGAAAAACTGCCGAGTTTTTGTTTTGCTTGTGGTATTATTGGCCATGCTAATAGGTTTTGTCCTCTGGCTCTGTGGAGGACCTGGGGGGTCCTAGGGGGGCAAGTGCCCCCGCTTCTAACTCCAAAATTTAGTATTAGTACTTATAATAAAATCAATGCCCCCGCTTCTTGATATAAAAATATGACTATTAGATACGGAGTATGTAGTAATTCCATCAAAGAGCACATGTAAATTGTTATAAGATATTTAAATGACTAAGGAGTTATGATTAAGCAATTTCAAATAATTAGACATCTTCATAAAGAGTGGCGCGGCCTTGGTGGTTATTTTTTGTGAAATACGAATTATCTTTTTCCAAAATTAAAAGTCAATGATATGACACGACTTCTAATATGTGTGGTGAGATTAATGAATTTAATCTTAAATGAAATTTCATACACAAGATATAATAATCATTGTTTTGTTACCAATTACAATTAGTTGTTGTGGCTATTGCACAAAGAAGGAGTTTGTGAATACTTTCCTTGAATATTTGTTCATGATTATGTTACTAAAATGTTGGGATCCTCTTGTAAAATAAAGGGCATGTTCCAACAAAACAACACGATACCATAAAAGAGTTATTATAAATGGGTGTAGTAACAAACGAAAGATGATTGAATCAAGAAATTAAAGGAATTTAGCTTGGCCAGGAGTTACATGTTAGGGTTCACAATTTAATTTCAAGTTGATGAAGGAATTTTGGACATTGTAATTATGTAGCATGACGTGTAACCTTGGATGACACTATCATAGTTATGGATTAAAATTTGACTGTTTATAGTACAAAAAAACTTTGAATTCTAATTCAAAACAAAGAATAGTGTCAGGATGATTCAGTTCTAATTCATATCAAGTATTATGTTTTTCTTTCAAGAAACAAAATATTATTATTTAGAATTGTTTTAATGGATGGAAAACAAGACCTGTTGTACATAGATGTAAATCATTTGAAAGTGAAATTAAATAACTTGTTTTTATTTTTTTTTAAATGTCTATACATTGAATAGATTAGTCTCACACTTGACCCGTCTCTGTCCATACAGTAGTGCCCTCGCTTGAGAAAAGTTCTAGGTCCGCCACTGCTCTGGCTTACGAGTGTGAGAACAAAGTGATGCTAAACCTTTTGAGGTTAGTCTTTGTGCCGGAGGGGGAGGGAAAACTCAAAAGATGAAGGCTAACAAATGGCTCGGGTCAGAAGACTCAAGCGGAAGCTCGCTGAACCATCTGGAAAGGAAACAAAGTGTTACGAGTGCCAGAGATGAGGCCACTAGACCCGTAGGGGGTTAAGGAGAGCGGCACCGGAGCTACGGGAGGACTTTCCGGGGAGCAGAAACAAGAAGAATGTGGGAGGAAGAGCAGACTTCAGAAGGGGGAGGGGATACCATGGCCTTTGATTTGTCAAAAAACGAAAAGGGGGTGGGTCCAGACCTCTAGGCCCGTCGAGAGATTTGAGACTGGTCCGGGATAGCAAAGGCCGGAGGATGTTTGTCAGTTGTGGGAGGATGCACAGTTGGGTTTCCACTACTTTATTTTCTTTGTCTTTGTTTATTTTGACCAGACCATCGTTGTTTTTTCTGTTGCTTTTATTACTGTAAGACTTTTGCATTTGGTTGGGGCGATGGGGGGCTATTCTTACCACGTTAGACTCATTTAGACCCACTACAGGATCAACAAACCATATTGCTTTGTCTAGGGTGATTGGTTCTAAGTCTGGTTCTAGGGTTGGTGGTTGGAAGGGCGCCTTTTATCTTCTTGTTCCCTTGCTGAATGCTTTGATATCAATTTAAGCCGCCTTGTTCCAAAAAAGAAAAGAAAAGTGAAACACTTGTACATATGTATACTTTATTCTCCTGCTATATTACTAATACATTGGTATTCTAAATAGTAATTTACTTTTTTGCTTGTTGTTGCAAGACAATGATATTTTGTTGTTATATTATTAATTACTTTCGTTTGGTATCCACAAGTTTTTGTTACAGAAGAAATATGTATTCATCTAAATTATAGCTTAGATAACGTGTATATTATTAATAATATATACCGTTGTCTAGAAAGAAAGTGAAATAAGTTATTTTGAGCTATTTATCATCATAATCTTTTAGTAAAAAAGAAAATGAAACAATGTACACAACCCTTACAAATAAAGATTAATTTGAGTCACACTATATATATTGTATTTAAACTTATGCGTTTAATTATTTTAAAACATGTGTAATAAGATATACACTCTCTAATTGGTTGTTTGTAAGTGATTTGTTTCTCCTCTCTTTTTAATTATTATTTTGTTTTATATTGTCATTATTTTTTGTTTGATATACATTTATTTTTTGTTTTGGTGTACTAAATACTACGGAGTACATTTTAATCAACAAATATATTTGAAAAAAAAAGCACAATACCGAACCGAACAAATTGTTGTTTTACATTTTGAATGATAAAATCGAACATTTACATTGGTTTGATATTTGGTTTTAGGTCAAAAATGAATTGTTTGAACTGAACTTATCCTTACATTCGAGGCGAAAACCTCAAATTTGGGGTTTTCACTTTTCACTCCTAAGGTTGCGGTTAGCCTTAATATAGTATTTTCAAAGGAGTATTATTGGCATCTTGATAAAGATAATATTTTAAAAATGACATCATTTTGAAATCAATTTTCATTCAATGTTTTCTAATGGAAAATAAAAATACTGTGTAAGAGTTATTTATTTATTTGATTTTATTTCTCTTTTCTGTATTTGTTATTTTCCTTTTCTGTACTATTCTCGTAGTCAACCCTTTCTTTTTATCAATAAAACTTCCTTTTGTATTAAAAAAAAAAACGAAACCAAATGAAACCAACAAGTATCAGAGTATTATACTTATACTTAAAATATCCGCATTTAATGGAAAACATAATTCGCGTTATTTTTGAACTTGGCACAAGTTAAAAATGTAATCCTATAAAAGAGGCCAACGTTGAATTAAGGCTACGTTTGGCACAACGAGCTGGAGCTGGAGGGCTAATGTCTGAACTGGGGCTATTGTCTGAATCATAGACTATTGTCCGGAGTTGAATTATCGAGTGCTGGATCTGAACTACTAGCTGAATAGAGTAAACCCGTTTGACAAAAAGAGCTGGAAAAGTACCGGATAATATGAAATTACATTAAAGCCCATTTTATTTAATTTTTCAATATTAGAAATATAAATAGAAATGTTCAGAAAAGTTTGAGTAAAAAAGAAATAAATATCGATACACAACTAAATTTTGATATTTTGATTAATGTGGGGTATACATATAACGCGTATACGTCATATTGATTTAGAATATTTTTCAATTATTGGCTTGAAAAAATATATTTTCAATTATATTTCATGGAGTTGACGTGGGTATCTAGATTCATCAAAAGGAATTTGAAACAGAGCATAAATTGATGTGGGATGGAAGTGAAATTTGTACTCCGATAAGCAATTGGTAGTGAAAATTGATGGAGGATTTTTTTTTTGAAAGGGATAGAGGATGACATTATAGCAATTGAGTATAAAATAAAGCAAAAAAATGCAGTAAAAAGTGGTGGTGTGCAACAGACGTACCGAAGTAGAAGAGGTCATGAGGTTATTTCCGGAAAACAAACGCAATGTAGAATCGTCTGAACACAAACGTTTAGATCACTAGCGTTGTAATTCAGCTCAACTTTTCTCACTTAAGCTTTGTGTAGCCGTTTTGCCAAACAGGACGTTTTCTCAAATTATTGACTGAATTGATAATATTTCAGTCCATTATGAGCTGAAATGGTGTGACAAACATAGCTTAAATTTATTCAAGGAACCTTATCATTCCAGCTCCGAGGACCACTTGGATGAATCTTTATTTTAGACAAGGTCTATGACATGGTTTCTAAGGAAGTACTGCTAATAGAATAGCATTTGACTTGAGGAGGTGCGACTTGTTTCATTTTTATTTAAAAAAAACAAAGTTATGGTCATATCAATCAATAAATGAACTTGAAATCAGAGAGTGGCCCGCCAAGATAGACTTGAAAAATAAATTAATTCAAATGCACTTAAGATCAGATATTGGCCTACCAAAATGGACTATTATACGGAGAAGTGGTCGCGAGCATAATGAGCACCATAAATATACAGCTGAACCTATCCATCTATCTCTTATACTCCACTCCCTATTACATTATACTCCGTATTAGATTAGACAGACACATATAAAGTAAACGCTTAATTATAAGTTCTAATCCATCAATTAATCCATCTGCGTATAGGATGTTGTGTATAGGATGTTGACTCAACCAATCCTACGGTGCTAGACCATATACCCGTGCACACCAAAGGCCCAACCCAACACATAGGAGCTATGATCTCCACACAGTCACTGCGGATTTCGATCCTTGATCATTTCTCCTACTTTCCCGTCGCTTTACCAGATGAGCTGGAGTAATATAGGATGTTGCATGAAAGCGGGGATCAGAGAGGAGTGAAACCTTAGCTCAATGAGTTAATGTTGATGCCATTGCTATAACAATTGAACAAAAAGGACGTATAGCTTAAAAAAGAAATTTCATAACCCCTTGATAAGACACAACAAAGTAACATTTTACAAATGAAGAACCAAAAAAGACTAAGACTCAAGAAAAGAAATATAAGAGGGGGATTCACAAAAGTTTACAGGGGAAATGGGGAATGACAACAAGAAAATGTTGTTAAGCTTCATCAAACCCTGCTTACATTTTGAGCAAGATGCAGGACTGACTGATCGGAGGGGCGAGGTTAGCGGCCGATCTCTCTCCCAGTCCTATCGATTGATCAGTAAGAAGGCGGAGGAGGGCGGGGAGGAGGTGGCCAATGGGCTTCATGGGGGATGTGCCCGGCATTGTGCAACAAGTTGGGTGGCAAGTTGTACAAAGAATCAACCAACCCGTGAGAATGTGGGGCTGATGATGAAACCGTCTCAACTACTCCTAATGGCACGCCCCCTTCATCCACGGCCTGCCGCAGCTCTTCATCCTCCAAAGGAAGCCTTTGGTAGGCGGCGTTCATGTAGGTGGCGGCAATCACCACCACCGGCCCAGAGGCCACAAGTGCACCGATCACGTTCCCACCCAAAACTTGCCCCTGCCCACCCGCTAGGTAAACCGTCAGCCCGGTCGTCCTTAGGGGCGATGGGGATGGCAAAAAAGCCCCCGACAAGGACAGTATCTCAAACCTCCCACGGAGGGTGACGACTCCGTCTGGAGAGGTTGGTTGCCGGAGAGTGACGTCAGCTACCACACCGGTGCCGCTCAAGACCGAAACGCCGCGGTGGCAGCGTTGGGCGAAGGCCGAGATGCAGTCAACTATATCACTTCCACTGCTAATCTCCAAGACATGGCTATGAAGGGAATTAGGGCTTTCCTTGGTGATCACAATTGGGGGTTTGGGTTTGTTCTTTGACCCGGGAGGCCGCCCCCTTGGGCGGCGACCGGAGCTGCTGGGTTCAGAAATCACAAGGGCCCCAGGATCAGTAGAGTTCATCATCTGCCCTTCATTCCCATCACTGCTGGTATCAGCCATGAAATCCTGCTCCCTTCTCTTCGCTTCTTCTTCCTCACCACTGTTTCTCATCAGATGCAATTCTGGATCTCCTCCACCTGACCCCCCCATCTCATTCATCCCCACCACATTTCCAGTCCACCACCTATTAGCCATATATAGCTGCTGATATAATCGCTTCTTTTTCTCCACACCTGACCAAAATGTCCCTTTTCTTTTACTTCTGTAAAGATTCTCTCCAGAAACAAGCAGCTTCTGAACTCTCTACCCGCACAAGCAACGTTTCATCATATTGAGGTAATATGAGGAGGGAGGGAGGGAGAATTTACACATTCACCCTACAAGCCTCGATCTCCAAGTTTCCTTGGAACTTGCTTAGAAAAGCAACAAGTAGAGAGAACAAAAATTTCACCTCTAAACAGGTCCCCAAATCATACTCGATTAAACCCACAAGCTAAAAGCAAACCCTATTGCCAGGATTTTCTCAGAAACCAGGGGTGGGGGTGGGGGTGGGGAAGTACAAATCTTTATAAGTATACCGGAAGCTTTTCACAATGAATAGGAAAGTAATCAAGACCCCATTGAAGGGACAAAAGTTGGAGCAGAGATCTGAGGGCAAACCATTCATGAAACTTTTTCCAATTACAGAAATCCCAGCTTATTAAACTTCATATCAATATCTCCGGACCGACCCCCACCACCACAGTTCAAGAAAAAACCTCAACCACCACCTCAACTGTCAGTAAAACTTTTTCCACTAGCTCTCGTAGATCTTCTGCGCAAGAGAGTAGTATGAAATCAGCAGGAAGAGATGGGTAAGTAATAATAGTAGCAGTACCTATATCAATCAGATCAGATTCAGTTGGTACGGGCTGTGGTTTTGTGGGTCAGGCTCATTTTTATACCCATTTGAGAGTCTCCTTATTTCCTTTTTCTCTCTCGCACTATTTCTCGAGCAGGTTGTGTACGAGTACGACATTTAAGTAGAGGTCCGGGACAAGCTAAGCTTGGGGTCATGTTCTCGTAGTTCGTGAGCGGGTTTTTCGGTGTCAGAGTAACGTCGTCTGCCGTTCGTTTTTTCTACGACTTATCGGACACATGTCTCTCGGTCTAAATCCTCACCATGCACGTATACTCACTTTGACTAAGATTCTTAAATACGTGCTCTCTCGGATCCTTCAAACCTTTATCAACTTTCTTTTTTTTTATAATAATTATTCTACTCATTTTTTCAATTTCCATTTTAAAGAAAAAATTGTGATTCTCATTAAATTTAAATATATTTTTAATACCTGGAAATATAATATATTTTGTTTTGCATTTCTCCATAATTATTTTTTGTTTTCTTCCCTAAATTTATGTTATTATTCTTTTTAGTCTTTCAGTGATAATAACAACCTCAATTTGACGATAAAACAATCCTAACTAAAAGATTTCATCTAATTTGTTGTCATGTTATTCAAAAAGTATTTGATTTTATTTTTAGAAGTTTTTTAATGCATATTTTTGAAATACAAATAATTAGTTTTACATTGTTTTAACTCTCATACTAGCTTAAAAAAAAGACAAATTTAAAAGTCTCTACTAGATTTATGCAATTGGTAATAACTATTTTTTCTTCAATTTCTGTTGGTTTAAAGTGGGAGATGAACTAAAAATTAGATAATACATATTACAAGGTTGAAAAATAAAAATGTTTAACATGGACCTAAAGCAAAGTATGTCATGTTTGCAGACATTAAAAATGTTCATGAACATTCTTATTAATTCTATTCCATTTACTCAAACCACAATCACATACTCTCTCCGTCCCGAAAAGGTTGGTCAACTTTGACTTTCACGTGGATTAATAAAGTAAAAACTGTGTAGTTAAAATTTATGCAGAGGAGAGAAAATTAACTTTAGCCACATATTCCTTACTTTAAATGGAAATGGCAAATCGAGACATCCAAAAAAAGAAAATTTGACAAACCTTTTCAGAACGGAGGGAGTAATTTTTATTTTATTATTCTACAGGGACAAAGAGGGTAAATCCTTCCCTGGTACGTCCCTTTTCATTATTTATGTTTTTGGTAGCTTTTTTTGTATTAAAATGTACTAACTACCCTTGATAAATTATCATTCCCACAAAACAAGTCTATTATCTTGTTTGCGATTGTTTTTACTTTAACAAATGATTTTTCAAAGTGATTTCAAAGAAAATGCCCAATACTAAGAGGTCGTTTAGCAACACTGTTTTTCGGCTTATCAACCAACTTTTTTTACCAAACACGTAACTTTTACTTTCCCGCGCTGAATTGTGTAATAAGCAGAAAAAGCAAGGTTGAAATTACTTTTTTGGCTCTATTGACTGAAGTTACTGTAGATGATCATTTTAGCTATTTTTACATATAATTTTTTCTTTACTTTATTAATAAAATATATTTTTTTTCTTAAATCAGCAGAATCAGCCAATGCAGCCACTTCAGCCAGAACTTCATTCATTTCAACAGAATCAGCCAAAACAACCGATTTTCGTGCGACCAAACAGACTCTAAAAGTTGTTAATATACGAGGAAAAATTATATTTATAAAAGTAAAAGTGTGGAGTGTTTGAGAATTTTTTTATTAACAGAAAAGGTGAATCATTTTAAAGCACACTTCCAAATATGGATGTGCTTCGTTTCAAAATCGGATCAGGCCCGAAACTAGTATTATAAAAAAATAGAAACTGGAAACTGAGCCGGATATATTACGGTTTTTAACCGTAACCAATCTCGATTTAACCTGAAATTCACAAACATTTTCGATTTCACTCCGAACTCGTATAAAATTTGATTCCATCATAACCATGTTGTATTTTGTTCCATTTAAAGCGTTTTCTAACTCGTTGGAAAGATCATATTAATTTCTAAATTCGTCTATATATGTCGATTTCAAAATAATACGGGATTATTACCTAATGAACGAAATTTCGAATCCAAGACTGTATTTACGCTAAAAATGCTATATTTACGCTGAAAATGCTAAAATTACATAGAAAAAACTTATTTCTTGCTCGATGTTCTTCCATTTGAGTCGTATTATATCTCGATGGAAAGATCATTTTGAGTTCTAAGGATATTATTCCGACTTCATTTACAATGCATTAAATAAAGGTACATATTAATCTGAAACTCACAAACATTTTCGATTTCACTCTGAACTCATGTAGAATTTGATCTGATCATATGTTGTTGTACTTTGTTTCGTTTATAGCGTTTTCTAATGAATGGACCTTCGAACCCAAGAATGTATATACGCTAAAAATGCTCTATTTACTCTGAAAATGCTAAAATCACATAGAACAGGCTTAGTATTTGGGACATCATATCTTGTTGTATTTTCTTCCGTTTGAAATGTATTATATCTCGTTGGGAAGATCATTTCGAATTCTAAAGCTACTATCACAATTTCATTTACAATGAATTAAATAAAAGATATATATTAGTATAAAACTCAAACATTTCAGAATTCACTCCAAACTCGTGTAGAATTTGATTTGATCATACCTTGCTGTATTTTGTTCCGTTTAAAGCATTTTCTATCTCGTTGGAAAGATCCTATCGATTTCTAAAACCCGTATTGAGGCGTTGGTTTCAAAATATTACAAGATGATTACCTAATGAACGGAATTTGGAATCCAAGGCTGTATTTATGCTGAAAACGCTAAAATCACAGAGAACATGATTAGTATTTGTGACATTCATATCTTGCAGTATGTTCTTCCACTTGAAGCGTATTATATATCGTAGGAAAGATCATTTTGAGTTCTAATGTTATTGTTCCAACTTCATTTACAATGCATTAATTAGAATTTCACTCCGAACTCATGTAGAATTTGATCTAATAATATCTTGTTATATCTTGTTCCTTTTACAGCGTTCTCTATCTCGTTGGAAAGATCTTATCAAGTTCCAAAACCCTTCTTCAGGCTTCAGTTTCAAAATTATTACGGGATTATTACCTAATGAACGGAGATTCGAATCCAAGACTGTATATACGCTAAAAATGATCTATTTACGCTGAAAAAGCTAAAATCACATTAAGCAGGCTTAGTATTTGTGACACTTATACCTTGCTGTATTTTCTTCTGTTTGAAACGTATTATATCTCGTTGGGAAGATCATTTTGAGTTCTAAAGCAATTATTACAATTTCATTTACAATGCATTAAGTAAAAGGTACATATTAATCTAAAACTCACAAACATTCCTGATTTCACTCCGATCTCGTGTAGAATTTGATCTGATCATACCTTGTTGTATTTGGTTCCGTTTAAAGCGTTTTCTATCTCGTTGAAAATATCTTATTGGTTTCTAAAACCCGTATTAAAGCGTCGGATTCAAAATATTACGGGATGATTACCTAATGAATTGAATTTGGAATCCAAGACTCGATTTATGCTAAAAATCATCTATTTATGCTGAAAACGCTAAAATCACAAAGAACATGCTTACTATTTGTAATATTCAAATCTTGTTGTATGTTCTTCCGCTTGAAGCGTATTATATCTCTTTGGAAAGATCATTTTGAGTTCTAATGCTATTGTTCCGACTTCATTTACAATGCATTAAGTAAAAGGTACATATTAATCTTAAAGTTACAATCATTTTCGATTTCACTCCGAAGTTGTGTAAAATTTAATCTAATAATACCTTGCCATATTCTATTCTGTTTAAAACGTTTTCTATCTCGTTGGAAAGATCTTATCGATTTCTAGAACCCGTATTAAGACGTCAGGTTCAAAAAATTACGGGATGATTCCCTAATGGACGAAATTTGGAATCCAAGACTCGATTTATGCTAAAAATCATCTATTTATGCTGAAAACGCTAAAATCACAAAGAACATGCTTACTATTTGTAATATTCAAATCTTGTTGTATGTTCTTCCGCTTGAAGCGTATTATATCTCTTTGGAAAGATCATTTTGAGTTCGAATGCTATTGTTCCGACTTCATTTACAATGCATTAAGTAAAAGGTACATATTAATTTGAAATTCACAAATATTTCCGATTTCACGCTGAACTCGTGTAGAATTTGATCATATCATACATTGCTGTGTTTTGTTTCGTTTAAAGCATTTGCTATCTTGTTGGAAAGATCTTATCAAGTTCTAAAACCCGTCTTCAGGCTTCGGTTTCAAAATATTACGGGATAATTAACTATTGAACGGGATTTGGAATCTGAGACTATATTTACGCTAAAATTTTTGGGAACGCCATACCTAAATCGTGTTTGCTCTGCGTTGGATGAGTGGACGATCACTTTGTTGTTGCTCTGTATCCCCACGGCGAGGGAGATGTATGGTCTCTCTTGTAGCTTCCAGTCTGCCCCCTGGAGATCCATCGCATCTGCGACATCGAGGGTTTTGGCAGCTTTCTTCGGGCACTAGTTCGTCCTCTACCCTATCAATAAGAAAACCACTGAAGCCCGGCGGCTGCTCCTAGGAAGACTGATAGCGAAGGATACAAACTCTGGTGGCAATAAGCCCTAGAGAGAGAAATTTTTTACTTCGCTAGCTTCATAAGCCATGGCTTAGAGTCCATTATTATTTTTTATCATAGAGTCCATTATTGTTTTTTAGAACCAAAGCAGGATACAAAGTGACGACAAGTCTTATGTCTACCGTCTGCCCAAGGACCAGGCTTTGAATTAATCACCTCCGAAGAAGCCATATAATTCGTTGATCCCGCTTTGGGCTTATCTGAGCCAATGAGTTACAGAATAGACTCCTCATCCCTTGGCTTAGGTTCAAGAGTTTTATTGCTGAAAAAACACAGCACAAACAAAACAAAGTACACATCCAAAACGTGGGAAATAAAGAAAAAAGAGCAAACAAAATAAAAGTATCTCTCGGCTAACAAAGCCGTCATCAACCTCAGAAACTATGGCCGATCTGGGATCTAGCACCCGTCCCTGTCCCGTTTTTTGGGAAATATGAAATCAAGCACCATAGCATCCTTTGATGCGTCCTCCTTGCCTTTAGGGCTGAGCACGGGTCAGGTTCGGGCGGGTCGGGTCTGCGTACCCTAAACCCGTTCGGGGGTTTTAAGTTAAATATTAGGCCCGGCCCTTTGATATTACAAATCGGGTTTTTCGGATATTTGTAAATTGGACATTATCGGA